TCCTAATTTCAATTTAGTTGTAATTTAAATATATTTTCAATTCGCTATTAAAAGTACTAATAGAGAGATTAATGACTGAACATAATCTGTTATAAAATACAGCAAATATATGTTTAAATATAGGTTTTAGCGAATACACAATTATCTGTTTACTAAATGAGTCTAATTTAATTAGTCCGGAGTAATCAATCACACGATTGGACTAAAATATCTTCCCAATTGATTTCAGCAATTAATCATTCAATATAATTATATATTAGATTGAATTCAGTATATGTTTAAATTATAGAGGAATACACAATCAATTAGTGATCAAAATAAAGATTTAATTAATGAATAACTTATATATAAAAAAATTATTATAAAAATTTAATATACTTTTTATTTACTAAAGAAAATAATTTTTATGAAAATCAATACTAATTATTTGATGCAAATTTTGACTTATTGTTCGTAATCTTCATCTTCGTCAATCTCTTCAGTCTGATCTGCAAATCCCGTGTTATCATTGGTTACATGTCTTACATTATCATCACTATTACTATTGTGTTGAACACTATCTACGATCTGATGCCTATTTTTATCGCCAATCTTTTGATCAGAAAATGACGGACCAATTGATGGCAAACGACCCGCAGAAGGCTTTTCCGCGAGTCGACCCGAATTGATATTCTTGTTATCAATCATTATTTTTGGGATCACTTTTGCACTTTCAGTCGTTCTCTCCTTTTGTTTATATAAATCAGAATTCATTGAATAAAATTTGGACGAATCCTTACACGTAGTATTAAACCTATGGATTCATATCACATATCAATACCACACAAATAGATAGTAAATGAGAGACCAATTGCTTACCACCAGTTGCAGGTGAAGAGCCTCTGACTAAATATGGTTCCATTGCCGCACAGGAACGATGTCTTTCGGGTATCAATACATAAATGAAATGCTTGACACTCGGCCTCCATATCCGCATAGAATCCTTAATTTTATAAAGTTTTTATTTAAAAATTTTAACTTTTTTACAAACCGTTGATTTTTCCATTGCATGTGAACGATGTCTTAGGAATTGATTGATATATTGGATAATCTTTGCCACCAATACCCTGGATATTATCTTTATCGGTGTCCAACTCTGTAGGTTTAGGCCATTGACTTGATGTCACTTTTTGTTCAATTGTTATATCAATTGAAAAACAAATTAAAAACACAATATATTTTAACAAATAAATATATTTAAAGTAAAAAGAGTTCATTATATTCTTAAATCAATTGACAAAATGTAACAAAACTTTTCATTATTTATAAGAAAAATTAGTGAATAAATACAATATCTAAAAGTCATGATGAGATTACTGTCACACTCTTCTAATGAGTTTTATTTCCTACATTTAACACTAAATTATATGAAAGTTTAGTTCATTTTTAATACTTTCTTATATAACATTTATTTTTATGCCAATTCTGCGTGACTTTACTTTTGTTACAATATATCTAAAAATATATTAATTACATGTGAATAAAGTGTTTAACTATTATTAAAAATTAATTTCAGCTAAAAATAGTTTTATTTGAATATTTTATACAATTAAGAAGAATTAATCAGAAGTTTGCTATAGTTTTGGTCAAACTTTGCATTGAGTTTTGGTTACGTTTTTTATCATTGGTTTCATATACTGTATAAATAAAACATTAATTGATGTCCAAATCACATCCAATTATCACAACAATATGTATCAATCAATTGTTATTATTATTATAAAATTCAGTAAATAAATCATTTATAAAATTCTTGCAATGTTGTAATCACCACTAATTTAACTAAATTCTTATAAATTATATTTTATTATTAATTAAAATAACATAATTTGTTATCCATTTAAACCAATTACAATACAAATATGTATCCATAACTTCTTTATTATAAACAAAATCATTAAATAAATAGTTTATTAAAATATTTGTAATTAACTAATCATTGATTGCTTCGACTTTAAAATCAAGTCCGGGTTTAGATTCAGTCGGCAATTGAGATATGAATGCTTTGGGTTTAGAGTGAGAGCCCATATATCCGATACACATGGAGTGAGTGCTGTGACCCCACAATAGCTCAGTGTGTGTCGATTCCTTGTCGTGATAGAGGGCTAACACTCCTCCGAGTCTGTTCTCTCTCGCTATGCCTTGAAGTAACGGTGAGTCTGACCAATGAGTGAACAATTATTATCAATTCACTAAACATGAGACAAACCTACCCCTGAATCCATGTTTAAATGCTTTATTCAAAGCATTTAAATTATTGCCATCACTTGTGTTAAGCAAATGATTGGCACATTCTTTAGCGAACATAGTTTTGGTCAAGTATTCTCCCGTACCGGTGGTCGTGACGGCAATGCAATTCTGCGCCCAAACACCGCATCCCATCATTGATGCCTTCAATACATAGGAATTATGGTAAATAAAAACGATACTCTTAAACGCGTTCGCATACCTGTCCTATTCGTCCCGAAGGCTTCAGATGAATGCCACCACTAGAGGCACCGGCGGCCACATTGCCGGCCCAGTCCACACATATGGCGCCCACTGTGTCCAGACGTTTATGTTTGGCGTTCAAAGACTCATCACTCGTTTCACTATCAAGAAGTCGTTTGTATTTATTATACGATTGTTGCGATCGCTCTGTAAATCAGATAATTTCTTATATGAAATGAAAACAATTGTCGAAACACTTTGATTACCAGTTAATAGTTCTGAAGCCACACAACCATTGTTGAGAGCGTAACTTCTGGCCCCCTCTCCCACCAGAAAGTTGGGTGCAATGAGACCACACGGCTGTTGTCTGGTCTGACCCGTGAGCACACATTCGGCCGCTTTGATCGGATTCTTAATGCCGTGAAGAGCGCCGACGGCTCCCCAATTCAGTGACTGGCCATCCATTAGACTGGCGTCACATTCAACGCAACCGTTAAGATTCAGATTAGATCCTAAGCCAGCGTTTGTCACGTCATTGTCTTCGAGACTAGCGATGGCCCGAATCACGCCATCGATGGCCGAACACTTGTCGTTCAGACTTTTGATGGCCTATC